TAAAATGATAACAAAAGTACAAGATATAAAAAGTTGTGGGATACACTTAAAGCAATGCTAAGAGAAATATATAACTTTAAATACTTATATTAGGGGGAAAAAGAAAGAAAATCAATCATCTAAGCTTCCACCTTATGAAATGAGAGGGGCACGTGGGTAGGGCTCAATGGGTTAAGCATTCGACTCTTGATTCAGGCTTAGGTAGACTCTTGATTAGGCTCAGATAGTAATCTCACAGCCCTGCGTGGGGCTCTGTGCTGGGCATAGAGTCTGCTTCTTAACATTCTCTCTCCCTCTCCCTTTGGCCTGCCCCTGCTCAAGGGAGTATGCACAGGCACTCTCTCCAAAAGAAAAAGAAATAATAAGAAAATTAAACACAGAGTAAGCAGAACAAATACAAAAGACAATCGGGAATCAATGAAATATAAAACAGAAAAACAATACTGAAAAAAAAATCTATGGAACAAAGATTTTTTGCAAAGATCAATAAAATCAATAAGCCTCTGGCCAGGCTGACCAAGAAAACAAAATATCAGAACAAAAGAGGGTATACTTCATTACCGATTCTACAGTTATTTAAAGGAAAAGACAGTTATAAGATAGTAAATCTGGAAATACTGTTGGGGAACGCCACTGTAAAGAACACTTGCACAGTATACGTGACAAAACCCAGTTTAGGCCTCTTCAAAACTTTTTTTTTTTTAATGTTTTATTTATTTTTAGGAGAGAAAGAGACAGCGTGAGCAGGGGAGGGTCAGAGAGAGAGGGAGTCACAGACTGAAACAGGCTCCAGGCTCTGAGCTGTCAGCACAGAGCCCGACGCGGGGCTCGAACCCACGAACCGCGAGATCATGACCTAAGCGAAAGTCGGACGCTTAACCGACTAAGGCACCCAGGCGCCCCTAGGCCTCTTCAAAACTTTTAAGATTTGGCAGGTGGGTGCAGGGACCCAATCGTCCTGATGCGGCCCAAGACAGGCCTCATATAGAAGTTCCTTTGCTTATTAAAAGTGCCACCTACCAACTGGGAGTGGGCCTGCCCTTTCTTTGGTTGGTCTCTCCCTGCCTTCTGAGCACAGGAACCAGTTTCAGAAGTGCTCTTCAAAAGGCACAATTATGAAAACAAAAGGACAAGACAAAGACTGTGAGAAAGTATTTCCAATACAGGGATCTGACAGAGGGCTTTCCTCTAGAATACATAAATAGCCCATGCAACTCAATTAAGACAAAAAAAGAATTTAAAAATGAGCAAAAGAGGGGTGCCTGGGTGGCTCAGTCGGTTGAGCGTCGACTTCAGCTCAGGTCATGATTATCAAGGTTCATGAGTTCGAGCCCCACCATCGGGCTCCGTGCTGACAGCTCAGAGCCTGGAGCCTGCTTCTGATTCTTCTCTCTCCTTCTCTCTCTGTCCCTCTCATGCTCATGCTCTGTCTCTGATTCTCAATAATAAATAAATGGTAAAACAAATTTAAAACAAAAATGAGCAAAAGATGTGAACCGGTAAATTAACAAAAGAAAAGGCCTAAAGCACACACAAGATGCTCAACATCACTATCCTCAGTAAAATGCAGGTAAAACCAAGATGAAATACCTACTAGAATGGCTAAAGTCAAGTTACCATTGGAATGTAAAATGGTACAGCCACTTTGGAAAACAGTCTGGCAGTTAAACACACAACTGCAATGTGACCCAGGATTTCCAAATCCTACATACATATCCCAAGAAAAATGAAAACCTATGTCCGCACAAAGACCAATAATGTTCACAGCATTCCATTTATATATACCTAAGGAAATATAAAGCAGGGCACAACACAAATGTCTATCAACTGATAAATGGAATAACTGTGGCATAATCATTCTATGAAACACTACTTAAAGCTTAAAAAGACAATATTAATACACAAAACATGGAAGAGTCTCAAAATTAGCATGCTAAATCAAAGACATGAAAAGCAAAAGAATACTTGTATTTGTGTGAGGCTAAACAACTTAGTTTATTTAGAAAAACAACCAAGAAAGGACAGCCAAGGAAATCCTAAAAGCAAGAAAGATGGAGAGAGGGTGCCAGAGTGGTACATATTAAAATATATTATAAAATCTCTATAAGTAAAATAGTATGGCGATTAGTTCATAAATAGACTAACAAAGTAGACCAGAAAATCCATAAGCTGACAAAATTGCACATGAAAATACAGTGTAAAATTAAGGCAACATTTCAAAATAGAGGAGGAAAAGACGGGCTTTCTAAACAATATATCGTGTTGGGACAATTAGCCATAAGGAGAAAGATAAACCTAGACGCTCCTCACACTGTAAACCAAGGATAAACCTCAAATGGATCAGAGATTTAAATCAAAAAATAAAAACCATTTGAGTAGTAAAAAAAGTATGTGGGTGAATTTTTCTAACACCTGGGAACAAGGAAGAAAAAAAAAATTTTTTCCTAGAATTCAAAACGCAAATCAGTATAGTAAAAGACTGATAAGTTTGACTACACAGAAATAAAAGACTTCTGCATGGGCAAAAACAAATGCACGAAAGTAAAGCAAAACAGCAAATGGCAAACTGCAACTTGTATTGCAGATAAGCATAAATATACTTCCTACAAAATATAGCCATCTAAAACAGAAAAATAAAACAGTGGCCGAATATCAGAAAATTGGGCAAGAGATATGAACAAATGTTTCAAAGGAAAAGAAATACAAATAGTCTGTAAACTTTAATTTCAAAAACCTCGACCTCACTAACAATTTAAAAAATGCAAATTAAAACAACAGGACATCATCTCTCACCTCTCAGGGAAAAAGCCTGCTGAAGTAACCTTTCTTGGTTAAGACCAAGAGGAAATCCGCATTCCCAAAGGAGCTATATTTAACACTTAATCCTTATAAAGGATCCCACTTACAGAGGAATCTTTGCCAAAGAATCACTAAGGAAAATATAAAAAGACAGTTTTACTATTTACTTTAGCACTATGTGTAAAGGCAAATACTGAAGCAACTGATTTGAATAAACTATGGAATAAATCTTCATAACCTTGGGTTAGGCAAAGATTTCTTAGGTGCAACACTAAAAGCACAAGCAATAAAAGAAAAAGTTGAGAAAAATGGACATCAAGATGCAATTTTTTTTGCACTTCCAAATATACTTCCAAGAAAGTGAAAATACAAGCCACAGACTTTGAAAACATATTTGCAAATTACATATGCGATAAGAGACTGTATCCAGAATGTATAAAGAACTCTTACAACATACGAGTTTAAAGAAAAAAAAAAAAAAAAAAAAACAAAACAAAACACAGAGGTAAAATGGGCACAGGGTTTGCATAGGCATTTTAGTGAAGAATATACATAAATAGCTAATATGTTCATAAAAAGATGCTAAACATCATCGGCCATTTGAAAACTGGAAATAAAAGCCACAACAAGATGCTACTTCACACCCACTGGAATGGCTACACTCAAAAACTGAATTACAAGTGCTGACAAGATGTGGAGAAACCTAAACCCTTTACATTCCAAGAATGTAAAATGTTATAGCCACTCCGGGAAAACAGTTTCTTAAAATGTTAAATACAGATTTACCCTACAGCTCAGCAATTCCACCCCTGGTCATCTACCCCAGAGGACTGAGAATATCTGCCCACACAAAATGTGTACAACACGAATGTTCTAAGTGGCATTCTTCACAATAGCCAAAAAGTGAAAGCAACTAAAATGCCCATCAACTAATGAATGAATAAAATGTGGTATAGCCATACAATGAAATATTACTGATAATTAAAGAAGTAAAGTATCAATATGTGCTACAGATGGATCAACCTTGAAAACATATGCTAAGTGAAAGAAGCCAGTCACAAAAAACCACATATGATGTGTTTCCCTGGATAGGAAATATCCAGAAATACAAATACACACAGACAAGAAGTAGATCAGTACTTGCCAGAGGTGGAGCAAGAGGTTTCATTATGGGGAGATGGACATGTCCTAAAATAAGACTGTGGCTATGGCTGTACAACTCAGAAAATTTCCTGAAAGTCACTGAACTGCATAGTTAAAACAGTTGAATTTTATGCTAAGTAAAAATTACACTTCAACAAGCTTTAAAAAAGAAAGATAAGCAACAGGCTGGAAAAAGTATTCTCAAGACATTTCTTAAATTACCAAAATATATTGTTAAAACTTCTACAAATCGAAAAGAAAGATAAACTAGGTGATAGAAAAATAAAGTATACCTTAAAAATCTGAAATGGCGATTTAGATTAAAAATAAACACGATGTGAAGATTAACCTGCCCAGGTAACTTTATGAAGTGCTTACGCTAAGAAATGAATGACTCATTATTATGCACAGTTCTTCATTTAGGAGAGTCTTCTGAAAACCAGTTAGTTCCAGGCACCTGGGTGGTTCAGTGGCTCAGTCAGCCCCACATTGGGCTCTCTGCTGTCAACACAGAACCTGCTTCGGATCCTGTCTCCCTTTCTCTCTTTGCCCCTTTCCTGCGCGCACTCGTGTGCTCTCTCTCTCTCTCTCAAATATAGATAAACATTAAGGAAAAAACAGGTTCAGCTGTCCTCTGAGCTCCAATTACAGACAAACTGTACTAAAAAAGATTATAATTTTCCCATTAAGCCTTGCCTTTTCAGTCTCCTACACCCATCTTCAGCCTTTTTTTATTCTCAGGTACCAACTTAAGACAAAAAAACAGAGTCATTTTGTTGCTGTTTGGTTATCCTTGCTTTTAAATTCTTACACTTAGGATCATCTTTGGCCAATAAACCGTGTCAGAGTAATCTATCTCTTTTAATAAAATATAAGGTGGTTCACACAAGAGAGTACAAAGAACATTCATTTTTTTTGTTTCCAATCCCGTTTCCTTAGAAGTAGTATTTTTAAGTAATGAACAAAACCAAGGAAAAAGAACACAATGCATTTTGAGCATAACCCGTAGTCATCGGCCCCCAAATAAACAGGAAACAGACATGCAAATGTGCACCAACCTTCCAGTAGTCAGACTGTAAACTGTAGTACCTCTGGTATGCAGATAATGCTGAAAGAGGGAAAATAAGGATGAATCGCAAAAATGTCCCATTTCAAAATCAATACTCCATGTTTTAAGAAACATTATAAGAAGCCTCCCACCATACCACCACCTCCCAATAGACAGTGATATTTAAGAGCAAATTTAGAAATCTGGGCCTCCCCCTCCTCACAGTCAGACATAATAAATGTCAAATATACAGGAGTTCATGGATGTAAAACTGCACTATCTCAAACCTAAACTTGAACAGAATCTAGGCTGCCTCTTGAATCAACATGACCTTCCGCAGAGACCAAATCTGATAAAAGGATTAAGATTTTCTGAGTCTACTCCAGAATATGATGGGGTATTTGTTCCCACAGGGACCTCACTTCTAAGAATGACCAAGAGCTCGACCAACTCAAAGAGCAAAGGGAGTATTTCTTTTGTGACGCTTCCTTTCATATAATCAACAACAAATCCAGCCCACAACTGCCTTGCTCCAAACTCAGTTCCAAAACACTGTGTCACACAACACTAAATCCACCACAAGGAATAAAAGGCTTTGGGAAAAACTACAGTTCCTGTCAATCTAAAAACTCAGTGAGGGGGCACCTGGGTGGCGGTTAAGCATCTGACTTCGCATCCGACTTCGGCTCAGGTCATGATCTCATGGTTTGGGAGTTTGAGTCCTGTGTCGGTCTCTGTGCTGACAGCTCAGACCCTGGAGCCTGCTTCGAATTCTCTCTCTCTCTCACTCTCTCTCTCTCTCTCTCACACACACACACACACATAAACATTAAAAAAAAATTAAAACTCAGTGATGAGGTTTAAAAAAGTAAATGAAAAATTATATATGCACACCAGAATTGGCAGCAAGAGCCCTTTTTTTTTTATTTTTTTTTTTTCAAATAGTTTATTGTCAAATTAGTTTCTACATAACACTCAGTGCTCATCCCCAAAGTGCCCTCCTTCATGCCCATCCCCCCTCCCCCCCACATCCATCAGTCCTCAGTTTTTGTCAGCATTCAAGAGTCTCTCATGGTTTGCCTCTCTCCCTTTCCCCCACCATTTCCACCCTTCTTCTCCCCCTTGGTCCTCCGTCAAGTTCCTCCTAATCCTCCTATACGTGCAAACATATGGTATTTGTCCTTCTCTGCCTGACTTATTTCGCTCAGCATAACACCCTCAAGGTCCATCCATGTTGCTACACATGGCCAGATTTCATTGTTTCTCATTGCCATGTAGTATTCCATGGTATAGATAAACCACATCTTCTTGATCCATTCGTCTGTTGATGGACACTTAGGCAGCAAGAGCCCTTTTTAAAAATTGATTAGCAATAAATATGTCATGAGGGGTGTAATGTACAGCATGGTGACTACAGTTAATAATACTGTACCACAAATTTGAAATCTGATGAGTAAATCTTAACAGTTCTTACCACAAGAAAAAAATATTTAATGTTTATTTTGAGAGAGAGTACGCAGAGGAGGGGCAGGGGAAGAGGGGCAGGGGCAGGTGGAAGGGGAGGGGGAGGGGAGGGAGAATCCCAAGCAGGCTCCAGCACAGAGCCCAACGTGGGGGTTCAAGCTCATGAACCATTGAGTTCATGACCTGAGTCAATACCAAGAGTTGGAGGCTTAACCAACTGAGCCAACCAGGCGCCCCAGGGGAAAAAAAAAAAATGTATGTATGGTAATGGATGTTAACTACACTTACTGTGATTATGCAACAAACATAATGAATCGTTATGCTGTACAGCATCTGAAACTAACGGTATACATCAAGTATACCTCAGTTAAAAAAAAGACTTAGATTTTTCAGATAAGATTTAACAAGTGCAGTAAAATTTTACACTGATAAAAATGGAGGGAAATGGAAATTAACATTTTCTAGAACTACATGTACAATGCTTTCATACTGTTTTATCACTAAGCAGCCAAAATAAATATGAAAACAATACAGAGAACTTTCTAAACAAGTTCAAATTAGAGAAGCATTGTCCAAAATATCATTACATATTTAAGTAAGTAACTCATTTAAATAACATTCATCTTTCTGGCATAAGGATGATGCCAACCAACCTACCCTTGGAAGCACGTCCAGGTTTGGGGAAAAGCTGATTGAAAACCTATCCTGCGTTTTCTAGTTCTTCATACACAATTTGTGCTAGCTCATAAAGGTCATTGATTAATGGTCTTCTAAAAAGAGAAGTAAACCAACTTATCAAACTGGCTGGAAGAGTAGTCAAACAAGGTTCATGTCCAGAAATCATCACTGATTTATAAAACACAGTCATGGGAAAGGTATCCTCCCTCTACTGCTGGATGCCAACAAGGAAGCATGCATATCACCAAATGCCACCACAAAGGGAACTATTCTTAGTATAAAGCCCACAGAAAAGAAACAAATGGAAAGTACCTGGATACTTCTAGACCTCAACTAGGCCTAGTACACAACACACCTATGAACTTCCAATTATGGGAGGCAATTCATGTGCTTATTATTTAAGCTAGAACCAGGTCTTTGCTTTTGTGCCTAAAAACATCTTAACCAACAGAAGTCAAGGTCCCTAACAATTTTGTGCAGTCACCATGTCAAATCTGGGGTGCCCTTTTAATGATGTTAATAGAATTCCAACGACCTGGGAAGGTTAGATTACCAATAACCTAATAATATATATTACATGACTTCATAAAATTCACATTTTACAATTAGAGGAGTCCTTAAAGAGATACTATGGTATTTTCCAAAGTAATTGAAACTGAGGTACAAGAAGCCTATGTGACTACGGGTTGGGAGAAACATGACATCCGTACCACAATATGATGAATCAAGAAATAAATATAAACCCTCAAATTCAAAGTCGTCAAACTGCAAGCATAAATTTGTAATTCAGACATTCCTTCCATGAGCATTTGTTACCTTTCCACTCATTTACATATTTCTCAACAATTATTACTTTACCCCAATAGACCTAGTATTCGATTTTAAGAAAAGACCTTAACATATTTTATGGTTCCTGATGCAAATAAATCATTAAAACTCTAAAGACTATAAAAGTGCCCATCACCAGAGACTCTCTAGTTAAATCCTTTTAATCAGAGCAAAGCCATCATTTCGAATCTCTAAGGCAGTTTATTCTGTCCATGAAAAAGAATTCCTAGTCCACTATAACTAGATTTTTCTGAAGTTCTTAATAGAGAATTAGGGAATCGTTTGTATGGACATCTTTATAATGCTTAAAACCTTTTACACAATGACTGTAGCATGTATCTTACTAGGCTCTTCCTTCTCTAAATCATCTAATCTTCACTTTGTGATCCCGGAGTTCTCCACCGGTTCAAGAAGTCCTTCTTCATCCCACTAGGAAATCTTTTTAACATTACTTCAGGCAAGACTGTTGTTTTCATTTGTCACCGAAGAAAGAATGATGTACCCAAACAAATTAATATCGACTCGTTATCAACCAATTGTCAAAGCTCACATCTTTTTAATCCTGGGAAGCAACTTTATGTATGAACAAACTTAAAATTATTTTTGCATAATTTTGAGTTCTATTTAGTTTTTAAATAAGCACATTTAGTCTTTTTTTTGTTGTTAAAAAAAGAAAAATATAATTTAAAAGATTATTTAAAAACTGGTAAAGTACTAACAAAGAAGCTAGGCCTGAAAAAACTAAAGGCAAGAGAAAACAATGAGAAGCAAATTAAATGTAACTATTATAACAACTTAAGTGTTCTGTAATCTGTCTCCCACATTCTCCATTATTTGGCCTTTGACCTCATGAAAATAGGAGAAAAGGAAGAAACAAGGGAATTTTCAAGGATAAAAGAATCACCTATACAGATGGAAAAGAGTACTACACACAGTTATTTGTCCTTCATAGTCTTGTTATGTGGCATTTTTCATGCCTGAAAATGATAAAATTAAATAATAATAATAATAATAATGGAAATAACCAAAAGTGGCAAAACTTTTAATAGGCAGTTTTTTTCATTCTACTAGTGCTATAAGTATAAATTAGCAAAACATTTTTGTAGCATAATTTAGCACTCAAAAGTTTTAATAGTTAACCCTTTCACAACACAATTGAAAATCCACATGTAACTTTCAACTTCCCAAAAAACTTTACTAATAGCCTACTGTTGACTGAAAGCCTTACTCCATAAAGAGTCGATTAACATGTATTTTGCACGTTACATTATATACTGTATTCTTAAAGTAAGCTAATGTTAAGAAAAGAAAATATTAAGAAAATCCTAAGATAAACTACATTTATAGTACTACAGTGTATTTATTGAAAAAATTCCACATATAAGTGTAGCTATGCAGTTTGAACCCATGTTTTTCAAGGGTTGAGTGTGTGCGTGTGGTGTGTGTGTGTCTGTCTGTATGTATACTTTCGCTCAGTAAAGCCTATGACACCAAGGTATTCCTTCTAAAACTAAAAACATGGATATGTACAAAGATTTACCTACAATGATAGACAATACAGTGATTACGTTAATAGTAGAAAAGAAATAGTTTACATATCCAACAGAGAATTCTCCTATCTGTATGACAGACACCATTCAGGAAATTGAAATGTTACAAAGTGTGTTTCTGAGGTGGAGAAATTAACATGATACACAGGGTTAAAGAAAGTTACAGTTTAATTCAATTTTCAAGTATTGAAAATTTAATGTAATAGAAAAGTCTGTAAAGATAAGCATCAAAAACGTGTAAAAACAAGTACCTCCAGATGATAAAGGAACAATGGGTCATTAATGCATTCACATAATGCTTCTTACGTATTAAGCGGCTGACAATGAAATACAGATGTGAACACATGGCTCCCGCTGTCAGGCTATTTGCCTTTTATGGTTATATAACTTGTAATATTATTCTTTAAACACCAAACATCTTATTTGTGTAAATGTTAAAATAAGTATACTTGTGTTAAAATTAGGAGATGGTCAACATCATCAAATGAGGACTCATTTGATGGAAGGCAATAGGATGTAGTATGAAAAAAAGCAGCTGAG